ACTGGTGTGTGTGCAGCGTACTGGTGTGTGTGCAGCGTACTGGTGTGCGTACACCGTACTGGTGTGTGTGGACTGTGAAGTGCTTTGCAGCAACTCGGAGTGAGACAGATTAAAGACGTGAGCACAACAAAAACATTAAACCCATTTTTATTCGAGAGCCCAGTTCTGATTTGGAGTTATTTACACAGTCTACTGCTGGGAGCTCTGGGGTTATTTACACAGTCTTCTGTTGGGAGCTCTGGGTGCGTTTGAGTCCTGCAGCTGTGTTTATGGCAAAGTCCGTTCAGAATAAGAAATTAAAACGAGAAACAGCAGCAGGGTGATGACCCCCCCTCCACAGACAGTGAAAGGTTGTTCCAGTGTACACAGTATTCTACCTGTACAATAATAGTGCTACTATTCACATGTGTACATTAAGGAGAGTATTTACATCATCACATTAGGGAGAGCCAGTACCTGAGGAGTTAGCGTCACTCGTTCACCGTAGAAGAAAGAAGCACGCTCGGCTAGCGGAGCCTGAAGCACAGTCAGGGTTACGTGTTAAGTGCACACAAGTTTTATAACAGCATGAAGACTGAAACACTGTCTGAGGCCTCGTCAGCAGGCACACACTCTTCCTCTGTCAGACTTGATGGTTTTCAGATCGTTTTTGTCCATGTTTGCTGAGGTAGGCAGCAAAGAGCAGATGAGATTATAGGATGTGGCGTTTCATGTCACTTCCCTGCAGTAGTGCCGGATGGTGATCGCCGTTTCTTAAAACAACAAATGATAAAAACTGAATAAAAACACTCCTCTGACATACTCCGAGTACGACGGAGCTTTAGGACCCCGCTAAGAAAAAACAAAATTAAAAGCCATAAAATTACAAGAATAAAGTCGTAAGATACTTTCTTTTTAACAGCTCTCGTTTATTTATTTTTTCCACGAGTCGGATCCGTGACGCGACCTGTCAATCAATCTAGTGGGCGTGTCAGCAACTGACCAATGCGGAGGTAAATGCTGGTTAC